GCAGAAAAGGTATCAAATAACATTACGAGGCAAACTGTAGCATCAAATCAACTTAATATGTCTTAGAAAGTAAGTAACAATTTAAAAAACATGTGGACATCTGTTTTGTAAACAAAGCTCCTCAACCAATGACAGCGTCTTAAATGTGACCAAGACGAGCATCAAAACACTTTGCAACAAGCGCTGTTCAGGTAAAAAAAAAACTTACTTCGACAGTTCAAATCATTATCAAATTTGGAACAAGGGCAGATAAAATAATGTTCTTCATGGCAGCTTATCTCTTTAAGGGGTCACTAGAAAAACTTGGGTGATTTACTTTGATCCTCTTTTCAAAAATTGTCTCTTCAAAACGCATCAACAAAAAGTAAAAACTCGAAGACGAGGCTGTAGCTAACTACCTGACGGCAGCCCGATTTGTTGAAATTCGTAGAAATAATGAAACAGGAGGAAATAACAAGCAAACGCACCAAGCAGCCTCGCAAAATCTGGTCACAGCAGTTTGGGAAGAAAATGGCAGCAGCTGCTGACGAAATGTCAACACCCCTATATTACGTGATTTCTGTTTTTTTTTTTTTATTATATTTTTATATTTTGTGCTTGAAAACAGGTGGACGTAAAAGAGAAGCAGAAGAAGCTGGTGGAGCAGCTAACAGGACTGATCAGCAGTGCCCCCGGACCCCCAACCAGGAAACTTCTGGCCAAGAACCTGGCTACCCTCTACAGCATCGGTGACACCTTCACTGTTTTCCAGACTTTGGAYAAATGCAACGACATCATCAAAAGCAAGGATGACACGCCAGCGTACTTGCCAACAAAACTGTAAGATCCTAACAGCAAATTCACATTCTCTGTTCCGTACATAAAGTTGTTGCTCTTTAAACAGGGATGTATCCCAAACCATTATCAAACATGGCGGTCAATTCTAAAACCCTTTGAAATAACATGCAAATCGTGTGATTATCTCAAGTATTATAGAAGTTCTGGATGTTTTTGTTCTATTAATCAAGCTCATGATTTCTGCCATAATTCATAGCTGATCCCGTCGAGCCTTTGTGTTTTTTTTGCTTCATTTTTGCTCATAGCCTCYTTAATGTTCAAAATATTGCCATGAAATTTTCAGAAATGATTCATCTTATGCTTGTTGTTCAGAGGCGTTTTGTATCCTAAACAAGCGAAATAATAATACATTACAATGTAAAAGTAGAAGAAACGAATGTTAAAAGGCTCATGTCRTCAAACTTGATGCATCTTGAATCCTTGAAATGAACACAGTTTAAAAACCATGTGACAGTGACAGCGTGTGAAATGTGTCAAGTGAAGATGTGCTAAATCATTTTCACCATAGAGGAAAAAAACACTTCAACGTTAACGATCATAATAAAACTCTGAACAAAGGCAGATAAAAAAATGTTCTTCACATAAGCTTGCTTATTTATCAGAATCAGAATACTTTATTGATCCCTGAGGGAAATTACAGGTATTACAGCGGCAACCGTTCAGATCAGAGAAATGTGAAAGGAAAGAAATAAGCACACTAGAATAAAAAAAAGTATGAACACCCAGGATTACAAAATAAACACACTTATGTACACATAAACAATGTACAAAAAAAATAATAGAATGTTAAGAAAATAGGTACAGAGATGATTGCACATGTTTGGTGAGTGTCATGGGTAAAATACAGTAAACTGAARATCAAATAAAGACTAAAAATAATAAAAATGTACAGATGATCTAGTTTCACATGTTTAGGGAGGAGTTATGGAGTTTGATGTCCACTGGYAGGAACGACCTGCTGTGGCGCTCTGTGGTGCATTTTGGTGGAATGAGTCTTTCGCTTTAAGGGGTCACTTGAAAAGARTGGAGTTCTTTTATCCGTTTTGATTTCGACGTCAGCAAGTTTTCTCAGAATTTTTTGAAATAACGAAACAGGCGCGATAAATTTGCGAGGTCACCGTGGTCACAGCAATCTGGTAAGAAAATGGCAGGCTGATGACGATATGTCAGCATCCCTACATATGCACTAGACTCATCTCCAGTTAAGTCACACATTAATCTGCAGGATGGCATTTCACGTTTAAAAAGGGAGGATTAAAATTTACACGACCGAGGATTATGCCGAGTCTTTTTTCTGTCATTGATGGAATCTGATCCAGCGCTGCCCTACGAGCACACTCAGAATCTCAGTTTTAGGACATAATACTGTAATTAGATTAAATTTTTGTGTGCTCATTAGTATTTCCCTCTCTCCTGCAGGGCTGCTGTGGCGTGTGTCGGAGCTTTTTATGAGAAGATGGGCAGGATGCTGGGAAGCTCTTTTCCAGACACCATTAATAATCTTATGAAGGCTCTAAAAAGCGCAGAGGTACGACCCCGTTTCCTTTACAATTAAAGATACGCCTGTTTGAATAATTTCATCTTCAAAATGTTCATCTAGTCCCAAGGACGAGGGGAGATCCTCCTCAGTCTGCAGAAGGTGTTAAGTGGACTGGGTGGCGCCGCAGCTTCGTGTCACAGAGACATCTACAAGAACGCCCGCTCTTTGCTCACAGACAGGTCCATGGCTGTACGCTGTGCCGTAGCTAAGGTAAACAAAACAAAAGCTTCGTATTATTGCTCTAGYTTTTGATTTCTCTTCCAATCTGCTTTCTGGAAACGGACTTTACTTTAGAATTTAGAAAGTTACAGTTTGTTCTTCAAAGTTTTTCTCTTTCCCTTTTATCCAATAAGAAAACTAATAGAAAATATATTTATTATGTTTTGCGGTGCTGTCGATAAATTGAGCTGAAAGTTGAAATTTATAGAGCCGTTTGTTTTCTGAGCAGTGCCTGTTGGAGCTGCAGAACGAGGCGGTGTTCATGTGGACAACAGAGCTGGAGAACATGGCCACGTTGTGCTTCAAAGCCTTGGAAGGATCGAACTACGGCGTCCGAGTGGCAGTGGCCAAACTCCTGGGCACGGTCATGGCCACCGCCCTCATGCCCAAACAAGCAGCAGGTGGGRGGATTTAGATTAAATTGCTTGAAAGGATGAAGTCGTTGTGTTTTTATATTTATTTACTGTTTCCTCCTCCCGCAGTGATGCGTCAGAACGTGAAGCGGGCGACTCTGGATGAGGTTCTGGAGCTGATGGCCACAGGGTTTCTCCGCGGTGGATCTGGCTTCCTAAAGAGCGGAGGGGAGATGTTAAAGGGTGGCGGCTCTGTGAGCAGGGAGGTGCGAGTGGGCGTCACACAGGTGAGGCGTTTTCTCAGACCCATTAAACAAAAACAACACGCAGTTAGTGAACAAATAACAGCTACTGTTGATCAAAAACAGTATTGTGCTAGTTTTTATGTGGATTTAAAAAAGTGTTTGACACCATGGATGACACAATTCTCTTTGAAAAGCTAAATAAATATTAATAATCTAGTTGTTTGGAAAACAGGAAACGGTTTGTACAAATAAATAATGTAAGATCGGAACTCTGTAAAATCACATGTGGAGTTCCTCAGGGTTCTATATTTGGACATAAGTTTTTTATATTATATGTGAATGATTTGGTACATGTGTCAGGACTTTTTAAATGTGTTTTTATTTGCAGATGATACTACATTTTTTTTATTTGGGAAAAGATATAGAAGGTCTGTTGGAAACGATGCAAACAGARTTTGTTAAAATACAAACTTTGTTTAAACTAATAAGTTATCATTAAATTTGGATAAAACTAACTACTGTATATGATATTCAGTAATGGAAAGGGAATTATTGATTTTCCATTTAGAGTTGATGATGTTGAGATCTGTAGAGTCAGCGAGGTGAAGTTTTTGGGTGTTATTATTGATGAAAAGTTGACATGGAGACCTCATAAATTATTTAAGAACAAAAATAGCCAAATCAATTGCTGTATTGTATAAAGTAAGGAAGTTATTTAATGATAAAGCACTGTTTGTTATATAATGTAATAATTGTTCCACACTTGATTTACTGGATTGAAGTCTGGGGTAAAGCATGCAAAACAATTACAAATCCCATCTTTATTTTACAGAAGAGAGCCGTAAAAATTATCACCAGAAAACATTACAGTCACCCATCAAATATATTATTTGATCAGTTGAAATTATTGAAATTTTATGAATTGGTTGATTATAATATTTTGCAGGTCATGTATAAGGCTCGTAAAAATGTATTAACTTTGAATATCCAATTAAATTTTGTTAAGAGAGAAAGTAATTACAATCTTAAGGGAATAGCGATGTTTGTAAAGCCTAAAATTGTACTTCAGTCCAAGGAATAAGACTGTGGAATAATCTGGAAAGTGATTATATATTATTTGAACTTATTTATTTTAATTTTTTTATTTTTGGGAAAAAGGGGGCAGAAATTAATGAGAATTTTTTTCTTTTTTCTGCTACCTTTCATTTTACTTATGATTTGTATTATTTGGTATAGTATTTGTTTTGTTTTTAAATGAAAATGAATAAATTTACTTAACTAAAAAAAAAACTTATTTAACCCAGTCCTGCGTTTTTCCAGGCCTACGTCGTGTTCGTCACGACGCTCGGTGGCCAGTGGCTCGAGCGCAACTTCGCCACGTTTCTGTCCCACGTCCTGGACCTGGTGTCTCACCCACGGGCCACGCAGACACACGTGGAGGCCGTGTACTCACGCCGCTGCGTCTCCTTCATGCTGCGCGCCACCTTGGGGGGGTTGCTCGGAGAGAAAGCCCAAATCGCAGCCGGCAAAGAAATCTGCCAGGCCATCAGCAAGCAGATGAGGGCTGTGGGTAAGGAGGATGGGGGGGAAATGTCACGGTTCAGAGCACTGCAGAGTAAGTACTCATCCATCATTTTTAACTTGAACTCTCCCATCATTCAGTTTCTATAATCATTGCATGTTTTGTGCTTTCTTCTTATCTTTCATGTTTTATTTTTACTTAAAGGCTAAAGGTGTCCGTTTTGCTTTCTGCATCCACCTTTTTTCTTTTTTTTTTCTTTTTAACCACAAGCATCATAATGTCAGTATTATCCATCAGCAACACAGCTCATGAATCTTTCATCTTTGCATTATTGCACAGTCATCACTTGTCGGTGAGCTCGTAATTTGGCGTTGCCTTACATTCCCTAAGGARCGAAATGCATTTTCTAACATCAGACGAACTGGGTTACAGCTGCAAAATAAATAAATAAATAAACTCTGCATGCGCCTCTTTTTAACAAGCAGAAGCCATTTCCCCTCTGCAGCATCGGATTAAATTTGCAACAGAATTTTCTTTTTTCTGTCCTTACACCCATCCCATAAATCATTCATGAAAATCATCAACTCATTTAAAACACGGATGATTCTTACTCTGATTTGCTTTGCAACCTTTAAACTCACGTTGAAAGACATTATTATGTTCTTCCTGATGATTAGGAGAATTTAAAAGACATGGTCCTGGGCTCTTTGTATTCACCGCTGAAGCTTTTTCAACTGGTTGAACTGTGAAGATTGTTTAAAATATTCCTATGTTTGTGGYTAAATTCATCTAAAATCTATAAATTGGAGTTTGGATTTTGTAGTTAGTGTCCATTTTCTATTCTACATCTGGTTCTAAGTTTATTGGTCTTGCCACAGTTCAAAAAGMAACTTTAAATCTGCTCTTTGAGTAACCTGATTGATTTTTTTCTGTGTGATCTATTCTGTTATCAATTTAGAGCTCAGAGGACTTCAGTTCTTGATAAATGAGTATTGCACAAGTATTTTTTTATTTTGCCAAATTTACATTTCAATACAGCAAAAATATGGTCTGGACCTAGTTTTGTTCTGCAAYATAAAAACCCTCAGAGCTCTAAATTATATCCCATACAGTTAGCCTGAGAGTATTTGGACACAAATATTATATTTATCAGCAGAACATAATTTGAGATTTACTTTAAAAACCTTTTAATGGAGAGCTTGTAGGTTTGTTAGTTAGCTTGTTGATTTGCTAAAGTTGTATGTAAGTTTYCTAATGTTAGCTTGTAACTTTTTAAAGTTAGCCTGCAGTTTTGTTAGTTATAGTCGGCTTGTAGGTTTGCTAAAGTTAGCTTTTAAGATAGCTGAAGTTGGCTTGCACGTTTGCTAAAGCTAGTCTGTAGGTTCGCTAAAGTTAGCTTGTAAGTTTGCTAAGGTTAGCTTGTAAGTTTGCTAAGGTTAGCTTGTAAGTTTGCTAAGGTTAGCTTGTAAGTTTGCTAAGGTTAGCTTGTAAGTTCGCTAAGGTTAGCTTGTAAGTTCGCTAAGGTTAGCTTGTAAGTTCGCTAAGGTTAGCTTGTAAATTTGCTAAGGTTAGCTTGTAAGTTTGCTAAGGTTAGTTTGGAAGTCTTTTAGTAAGTTCTAGCTTGTGAGCCTTTTAGCCTGTAGGTTTGCTAGAGTTGTCTTGCAGCTTTGCTAAAGTTAGTGTGCGGCTTGGCTAAAATTAGCATGCAGCTTTGCTAAAGTTAGCATGAAGCTTTGTCAAAGTTGTCTTACTAAAGTTAGCTTGCAGGTTGGCTAAGGTTAGCTTGCAGGTTGGCTAAGGTTAGCTTGCAGGTTGGCTAAGTTTAGCTTGCAGGTTGGCTAAGGTTAGCTTGCAGGTTTTCAAGCGCAGGAAAGAGATTAAAGCAGACATCGTCAATTTTTAAAATAGAAAAACTTGCAGACCAATGTGTGTAAAAATATTCATAAAGATATTTTTTGAAGAAAATAATTTATTATTTCTGTGCTGACTGGAAACAAATGATCCACAGATCAGTCCTCTACCCAGTGGTTGAGGACCCCTGGTCTAAACGACACATTTAAATCTTAGCAGACAACTCTTTTACTTATGTTTGAAACTTTTAAATCAAAACATCCTGTTTAATTCACTGTCTGGATGTCCAAATATTACTGGGATTACTGTAAATCACTGCTGGATTTTAAAATGAAAACGATCTGAATCACTGAACAGAGTTTATTAGATGAGTTTAGAAAATGTATAAAAGTGGAATTGCTCCTTCTCGCCGTGTTTCTCCAGAGGCAGTTGTGAACGACATCAGTGGTGAGAACAAGGCTGGAGGAGCTGATGTCTCTGCCAGCCAGCATGTGATGGTGTGCGCCCTGCAGGAACTGGGTAGTTTAGTTCAGAGCTTGAGCGCCACGGCGTCCCCTCTCATCCAGGAGCCTTCTGTTGGTGAGATACAGCGAATATAAATTAAGAGCAGTGGTGCCRTTTAAASTAAATATTGAGAAAACTGCGCCTCCTGTTCCAGGACTTCTTGAAACGGTGACCTCKGTGCTGCTCCACCCGAGCATGGCGGCACGTTTGGCGGCCGCGTGGTGCCTGCGCTGYGTTGCCGTGGCTCTGCCTTATCAGCTGTCCCCGCTGTTGGACCGCTGCGCCGAGAGGATCAACAACCTGAAGAGCTCGCCTGAAGCCGTGAGCGGCTACAGCTTCGCGATGGCAGCTCTGCTGGGCGGYGTCCACCAGTGTCCTCTGGGCATTCCTCACTCCAAGGGCAAGGTGCGAAACCTGAGGATTAAAATAAAGAATGAGGCAAACTGAAGTTTTTGTGGCAATACAGCTGTAGGACTGCTGGAAGCTAGTAAAGTATACTGGCTGAAAGCTGAAATAAATAAAATGCTAGCAAAAACTAAATGTAACAAAATACCAGTTAAAAGCGAGAAGTTGCAAATATTTGACTATGTATAAGCTTAAAATAAGTATCAGAATGGTAGCTAACCACCAGAAATAGCATAATGCTAACTGTAAACGAAAAGTAATAGAGCTGTAACTAAAAATAGTAAAAGCTTAGCTAAAAATGGAAAAAGTAACAAAAAAACAAAACAAAAGTAGACGAACAGTTGCTAAAAACAGGAAACAATGGAAAGTAAAAAGCGGCAAAAGGATAGCTAAACGTAGAGTAAGAGTTGGAATTAAATTGTAGTTGTAAAAAAAATGTGATAAAATACTAGCTAAAAGCTTAAAATAGCAACATGCTTGTTAAAAGCAATAAAAGACAGACTAAAAACAAAGTAGCAAAAGGCATGCTAAAAGTACCACAACTCTAGCCAAAGGCTAAAGTTAGCAAAGGGCTAGCTAAAAGAGGTAAAAGCCTAGTTAAAAATAACWAAAAACTAGCTAAACACCAAAAGTAGTCGAACAGTTGCTGAAAGCAAAAACGGCCAAATGGAAAGTGAAAAGCAACAAAAGATTAGCTAAAAGCTGAAAGTAGCAATAATTGTGCTAAGAGTAACAAATCCCTAGACAAAGGCAAAGACACACAAAAGGCTAACTAAAAAGTAAAAGTAACATCGGTAGCGAAGAACTAAAAGTAGTAAAACCCTAGCTAAAAATAGCTAAAGATCAAAAGTAGCAGAACATCGCTAAAAGTGAAAATGGAAGGTGAAAAGCAAAAAAAGATAGCTAAGAGCTTAAAATAGCAACATTCTAGCTAAAAACAAAAGATTGTCTAAAAGCTGAAAGTAACAATAAGGGAGCAAAAAGCTAGCTTAAAGTTTAAGATAGCAACATGCTACCTAAAAGCAACAACAGATAGGCTAAAAGCTTAAAGTAGCAATACGTGTGCTTAAAGTACCAGATCCATAGCTAAAACCTATAGGCAGCAAAGGGCTAGCTAAAGGCTTAAGATAGCGCAATGCTAGGTAAAAACAACTGTAGATTGGCTAAAAGTTGAAAATAGCAGTAGGTGTGCTAAAAGTATCAGATCCTTAGCTAAAGGGAGAATAGGGCTAGCTAAAAGCTAAATACTGTATTTTGATAGATGAATGGCTCAAGAAGCACAAATTCTGTAGAAGCTGTTGTCTTACATACAGTACCAGTAATCAACACTGTAATTGCTGCTGATCTTTTTAGTCATTGATGTAAATTGATTTAGATTTGTTTTCTCCTGTGATGAACGTTTTGTGTTCTGCTCCCTGTAGCTGGTTGTGAGCATCGCTGAAGATCTCCTGCGMACAGCTGCTCAGAACAGCCGTCTGTCCCTGCAGCGCACGCAGGCTGGGTGGCTGCTGCTCGGAGCCCTCATGACTTTAGGTGAGACCCGCGGGGCCGGTTCTGTTTTTGTCTCCAGTTCCTCCCCMTCCCCGCCTCACTGTGCTCCTGCTGACTCCCCCAGGTTCCGCACTCGTTCGCTACCACCTCCCCAAAATGCTGCTGCTGTGGAGGAACGTGTTTCCTCGCTCCCAGAAGGAGCTGGAGGCAGAAAAGGCCCGGGGGGACTCMTTCACCTGGCAGGTGACCCTGGAGGGCCGGGCCGGAGCACTGTGCGGTAAAGAATCACTCCCGTCTCTGGATTTACTCGGTGATCTTGTGGCGTTCTGATCGTCTCTGCTCCTTCCTCCTGCAGCCATGCGCAGCTTCGTGGCTCACTGTCCGGAGCTTCTCACTGAGGATGTCATCCGCCGCCTGATGACGCCGATCGAATGTGCCATGACCATGATGTCTCAGTGAGTCTCTGTTTGGAGGCACCCTGTACTAAATGTTCCTTCTGTTACTTCCTGATCGTATACCTTTTCCTCAGCGTCCCTGCCATCATTAAAGTCCACGGCGCCCACCTGAAAGCCAGCGCAGCCATGGTGCGGCTCAGGTTGTACGACATCCTGGCGCTCCTGCCTCCCAAGACCTACGAAGGTAAAAAAACAAGTTACAGATGTTAAAAACGTAAACGAAGCGTTCTAAAACAAGCTCTCTTCCCGTTCAGGCAGCTTCAACGCGCTCCTGAGGGAGCTGGTGGCTGAGTTCACTTTGACCGACAACTCGGCCAACACCACCACCTCCCTGCTGCGCTCTCTGTGCCACTATGACGACAGCGTGCTCATGGGCTCCTGGCTGCAGGAAACGGACCACAAGTCCATCGAGGATCAAGTTAGTTGAAAAGATTTGAAGTGTAGAAGCTTTATGAGTGTGATTATTGAGCTTTGTGTGATAAATAATTTAGGGCTGCAACAACGAATCGATAAAATCGATAAACTTCAGAACCACATACTGGGCCATAGCACATTGTTTCAGTCAGACAGAACCAACAAGAAGGAAGCAAAAAGTAAAGAAGAGAAAAATCATAAATGCTAAATGTAAATATGTACGAATTATAACAATAAACTAGAAGCACTCGGAG